TCTGTGTCCTTTCCTAAATTTACATCCCTTATAATTGAATCACCTACCAGAAGGTAGCTTCTCTTTTTGGGAGCCTTTCTATTCTTGCATGACTGATGTGCAATACCTGATTCACACTTCTCCCTATCAAAATCTAGTTCTTCATCTCGGACCACAATCCCCTGCTTATTTGAGTTATCTTCACAAATACCTTTACCAGTCTCCTTAATGTCCCTATTAAGGTCAGCAAGAGCACTGTAGCTGTTGTGCAGGGACACAGCGAAAGCTTTGTGTTTATGGTTCACAGCTCTCACCCTGCCAGATCCCACGGTTGTCCACACTGCCCTTTTCCTGCAGGATATTTGTGGTAAAGGGGGCTGATAGCAGGGAGGCTTACTTTTATTTTATATTTTCTTTTTTTTAATAAATATAATTTTTTTAATCTTCTTTTAACTAAGCCTATATTCTGCTCTGGGAGGCTCGGGGGGGGGGGAAGGGGGGAGGGTCTGGGTAGGGGTTGGGGAAGGGGGGGTTTGTTGGGTAATGTTTGTTTTTTATTTGTATATGTTGTTTTTTGTTTTTGTATTGTTTTGTATTTTTTGTAAAATTTATAAAACTTTTTAATAAAAAAAAAAAAAAGATGAGGCAAGGCAAACGCCCGGTGGCTGAATATACACAAGAATTCCAGGCCATTGCCAGTAAACTGAACTGGCCAGAAGACATCCTCCTTAGCCATTTCAAAGACGGACTAAATTATGACCTATATGACACTTGCCTGCCCCGACCGGATCCACACCAACTTGAGGAATGGTATGTCTTGGCAGAGGAAGCAGAGATCGACATATTGAAGAGACACCGCTGAGGAAAATAATGGAGCTGCTCCCCGCCTGAGTTGACACACGAACCAGTGAAACCATTGGCTACAGCCAAGAAGCAAATGGAGTGTTTCAAGTGCAGAAGAGAAGGGCATCGAGCTGTAGAATGCTGCTCCAAAGCCCCCCAGCACAACCCAGACAGATCCCCGATCAGCAAATCTGGAAAGTCTTCAACTGAGCCAAAAGAAACTGCCATGAGAATGATGGAAATTGTGGAACCCCCCACCTCTGCTCATCAGGGGGAAAGAACTCCAGCCTATACCGCAGGGCCAGTGGACGCCTCAGATGACAGCTCGGAGGGCAAACCCCTGGTAAGTGGATGCATCGCACCCATTCTCAAGACAGTGACTATATTAATTCCCCCCATGCCTGAAGCCATGAAGGTGAAAGCCTTAATAGATTCTGGCTGCACCCACTGCCTCACTACTGGGAATCTGGGCATTCAATCGAGGAGACTGGAACAACCAATCTCATTTGGCCAGTTAGATGGATCCATAGCAGAGGGGGTGCCAGTTACCCTAGCCACTTTACCAATACACCTCTTCCTGGACAAACATGAGGAGGACATAACATTTGTGGTGACCCCAGGCATGGAATGCCCAATGATCCTAGGGATGGAATGGTTAAAAAAATGGAACCCCCTGGATAAATTGGAGGACGACAGAAATCAAATTCCCGAAGGGGGACCCGATGGACTTAAAATCCCAAGGGGGGCTACCAGAATCAAGAATAGAAAAAGCATCCATGGGAGAGGAAAAGGGACCACCAGAAATACCAGAGGAATACAGAGACCTTGCTGAAGTTTTCAGTGAGGAGAGGGTGGATGAGCTCCCCCCCTACCGACCCACAGACTGTACCATTGAATTCAAGCCTGGGGCAAAACTCCCGAAGCCCAGATTATACTCCATGAGCCCAAAGGAGAAGGAGGAAATGGAAAGATTCATAAAAAAAAACCTAGAGAGAGGTTTCATTGAGCCAGCCAAGCCTAAAGTGGCTGCCCCGGTCCTCTTTAGAGAGAAGAAGGATGGCTCTTTACGCTTATGCGTGGATTATAGGGCCCTGAATACAATCAGTGAAAGCAACCTATACCCTCTGCCCCTCATGAAAGACATGCTGTCACACCTCTCGAAAGGGAAATTTTTTTCTAAACTAGACCTAAGGGAAGCTTACTATCGCGTGAGAATTAAGGAAGGGGACGAATGGAAGACCGCATTTAACTGCCCCATGGGGTGCTATCAATTCAAAGTCTTGCCATTTGGATTACAAGGGGGCCCTGCAGTCTTTATGCAATTAATCAATGATGTTCTAAGGGAGCACCTGTTTAAGGGGGTCCTTGTTTACTTGGACGACATTCTTATCTTCACCGAAACAAAAGAGGAACATGTCAACCTTGTCAGAGCGGTTTTAAAGAAACTGCGAGCTGCCCACCTATATGCCAGAATTCTCAAAATGCGAATTCCACCAGGAAAGGATAGACTACCTAGGTTATCACATATCCCCCCAGGGCATTGAAATGGACCCAGAGAAGGTCAGAGCAGTATTAGATTGGGCACCACCCCACACAAGAAAGCAACTACAAAGTTTCCTGGACTTTGCAAACTTTTACCACCAATTCATCCCCTCATTTGCCCAGATAGCCTTGCCCCTCACTAACTTACTAAAAATGAAGGGAGCATCCTCAGTAAAACCTAGCCAGCCACTGACATGGACAATGGAGTGCCAAGCAGTGTTTGAGAGACTAAAGAGACTTTTTTCTGCTGAACCAGTACTAAGGCACCCAGACATGGATAAGTCCTTCGTATTACAGGCGGATGCAAGTGATGGGGCACTGGGGGTTGTTCTATTACAAGAAAACGATGATGGAGTATTGCAACCCTATGCATATACATCCAAGAAACTCACGGAAACAGAACAGCGCTGGCCCGTATGGGAGAAAGAGGCATAGGGGATATGTTGGGCATTACTCACGTGGTGACAGTTCCTGGAAGGCAACAAAATCCCCTTCCAGGTGTGGACTGATCACAAAAATTTGGAAGCCCTGAAAGTGCCCAGGAAGCTCAATACCAAGCAAGCCCGCTGGTCCCAGCATTTTCACCAGTTCCAATTTAAGCTCAAACATTTACCAGGGAGAAAGAACTTCCTTGCAGATGCAGATGAATGGTTCCAGAAAAACAAAAATGTGTTCACAATGAGAGACGGGTTACCTTGGGTAGGGGAAAAGTTATATATACCAACAACCCAAGGAGTCACATTCATGCAGCTTTGCCATGACACAAAATCAGCAGGGCATTTTGGATTTGTAAAAACATTACACTTAATTAAACGGCAATTTTGGTGGCCATCCATAAAAAAGGACATAGAAAGTTACGTAACCAGCTGCCCAAAATGTGCTACTGCAAAGAGGTTGCAAGGGAAATCGCCAGGACGATTACACACAGTGGCAAATCCCTCAGCCCCCTGGAGGGAAATAGCCATGGATTTTATAGTGGAATTGCCAGAAAGCAATGGAAATATTGTTGTCTGGACGGTCACGGACTTGTTTTCCAAACAGGTGCTTTATCCCTTGCCAAAAGATTCCCAACGCAAAAGCCTTAGTGAAACTTTTCATCCAGCACATTTACAGATTGCACGGGGCACCCCAACGCATCATCTCTGATAGGGGAGTGCAATTTACGTCTGCATTTTGGAAGGAATTTTTATCCCTCTTAGGGACCACTCAGGGACTGACGTCTAGCGATCATCCACAAGGGGATGGACAAACAGAATGTTGTCATTCAGTACTTGAGCAATATTTAAGATGTTTATTAATTTTCAGCAAACAAATTGAACGGACCTACTCCCTTTCGCAGAAATTGCTTACAATAATGCAGTCCACTCCAGCACAGGTTACACTCCTTTTCAAATAGCCACCGGTCAAAGTTTCAACCCCATGCCAGAATTAACCCCACAGGAACCGGCGATCCCATCACTGAAAGAATGGATGGAACAATTACAAAACACCTGGCCAATAGTCAGAAAAGCACTAGATGAAGCTAGGCAGGCATACAAAGCACAAGCCGATAAAAAAAAGGGTTGAGCCTACACCATTCATTATAGGAGAAATGGTGTACTTATTTACAAAATACCTAAAGTCCCTATAGTCCTGTAAAGAACTTGGACCAAAATATATAGGGTCTTTTCCAATTAAAAGAATCATAAACCCAGTAACAGTAGAATTAGAATTACCCAAAAATCTCAAGCAAATACACCCAATTCTTTATTGCAGCTTGTTGAAAAGAGAGCATCAGTCATTGTTACGGCCAAAAATCCCCCCCCACCTCCAATCATGGTGGAGGGCAAACAACACTTCAAAATAAAAGAAATTCTTGACTCCAGGAGATATCATGGAGCGACTCAGTTCCTAGTTGCCTGGAAACACCTCCCTGCCTCACAAAACAAGTGGGTCCATAAATACCATGTCAGAGCCCCGAAGCTATTAAAGAAGTTTCACACAGAGTATCCTAACAAGCCTGACTAACTTTTATACCTGTTTTGTTTTCTTTCAGGTGGATCTGTCTTATTTTTGAGGGGGCAGGATGTCAGAATCCAATTATATTTCATCTCTATATATCAACTATAGAAAACCCCATTTCTGCCTTCTCTGGATTCTGTCATACGATGAAGGGAAGGCGGTGAACAAAGGGGCTTTATGGCCCTCACTTCCTTCAGTACACTTCAAAGGAATTGGATGTGTATATCACCAAAAGGACTAACCATAACAATGGGGCTATTACCTTCATGTAGTTCTCTCTGAAGTCTCCATCCAGCCGGCAGTAAGGAAAAGGGGGTGGGAGTGTAATGCCTGAGACTGTCGCTGGAAGAAGGGAGTGATTGGGTGGGGCTACTGGGGAACCCCTTAAAACCTTGAATGGGAGAGCTTGGACCCCAAGTCCTGTCTAGAACGCCCGCAACCATCTCTTAATAAAGGATGCCTGTTGGAAGAACTATTCCAAGAGTTCTGTCTTCTTAAGATGCAAAGTGGGGTGGGTCCTTACAATATATACATATATATATACATACATACACACACACACACATACAAACAATTCTTACACACACACACATACACACACTCACTCTCACTTTCCCTCTCACTCTCTTTTCCAGATTTGCTAAACTTCTTCTCAGGCTGCCTGCATTGAGATCTATTGGACTGAAATGCCTCGAGCATCTCTTCTTCTTCAAGCTAATAGGTGACACCCCTATTGACACCTTTCTTATGGAGATGTTAGAAACACCTCTGCAAATCACTTAATGAGGACAGGATGCTAGCAAGAAAGTGCAAATGACACCAGTGAAGAAGTTTTGTTCCTGAACTGCCTGCTTTCACCCATCCCATTCTCCTGACTGTCTATATGGAATGACTATAAATGTTTAGCTTTTAAAAATGGAATGTTATTCATATGCAAACTGTTAAATAATAGCTAGGAGGAACAGAGCATCCTGTAGCTCATCAAAAACAATTTGTAGCTCATCACAAAAATCTTGTATAAATGATTGAGTTTAAATTATTTTTTCACTTCCCAAAAGATGAGAAATAAAATAATTTATGAGTAATTAGTATGGAAGTTGTTGCTGAGGTCCTTCTTACTGGGTTTTCTGGAGAGTATTAGGGGAACTTCTCTTATAACATGTCACTTATATCCTTCTCTTATAACATGTCACTTATTTTAGATAGCAAAACCACATACACGAGTCTAGATTTTCTTTTGTTATTTTGTTGTGACAATATTTATAAATAATCTGTTCAGCATGTTCCAGGTTCATACTGCAATATAACTTCACATGGAAATGAAATTTATTCCTCAAAGGGGCAATATTTCCACAATTACCTTGTACACATTTCTGCTGCAATTCGTTATGCGCAAGGAGGACAACACCCAACTGTCCAAAGCTATCTGGAAGTAGAGGGGTTTATTCAAATTCTCATTACATAGAATAGCTCAAATCAGAACAAGGAGGTTGAGCTATTTAGCTATAAGAACAAACTTTCATGATGTTGCTTCTGTTCTCTTGTGCTCCTGGTGAAAGCATTTGTAACATTTTGCTGGAAATGTGCCAACCCAGATAATTCTTACATTACTCTTATGAGGCACCAAAGGGCTCTCACACACAAAAGGATAGCAGAAAAGGAAGGACTGGAAATATGGGGATGGAAAAAGAAAAAATAGAATATTTAAAAGCTAAAACTGCAAGATGGTGGTCTCCATAACAACCATCAAATGAGGATGACAAATACTACATATTATATGCACATAGTTATGTTTACATATTTTTGGCAACAAAAGGCATACACATTTCTTATAATTCCTTATGTCCGTCCACATGTAATAGTTCTTCTGCATTTTACTATTCCGATGGAGTTTTTTGAACAGTTTGTGAAATTGCTGTTTATAGTGCATCCAGTTCAGTCCTTTTCTAATTTTTTATTTTTAAAAGGTTGTGAGAGGAAATTATACTTTATTTGTATAAAGCAGAAAAAAACCAATCAGAAAAGACTATAAATCTAAAGTTTATATTATTGTGCCACTGAATTAAACAAAGAATTTACAATATCATATATCTCTGTGATCAAACACTCTACCTTCAAGATAAATATAAAATATAATGAAAATAAATGATTACATGTAGCAAAATGTCACAATGATAAGCTAATATGACAAAATCTTAAATGTCTGAAGTGTTGCATCCCACAATTGGCTTTGGGACATCATCTCAAATCATATATTTCAGGATGATTACCCTAGATTGGAAAGATTTCATCTCATCCAGTCAAAGCTTTCTTAAATGAATAGAACAAAAATATGTCATAACTATTTACTGAAAATCAGTAGGAATGCCTAAATACTGAACTTCTGCACCTCAAAATACTCTTATGGCATTTTCAAATTATATGTCCACATATGCAGAAGTGTAACCTTAGTTAACCTTTGTGCTCTCTAATCATAAAACGTATGCATTAGGCTTTCAAAATTTAATTATCTTCTTTTTTTTTTGTAAAGCTACATTTCCCCTTTTTCCTCTTTAAGTACATTAATACTGAGTTTCATTTAGAATTTCCAAATAAACATGGGGGGGGGGAGGCTTAGAGGGAGATCTTTTGTTCAACCAACCAATAGATTGTCTGACATCATCTTGTTCACTGATAATTATACAGTTACCTTACTTTTTATAAACTTTCCTTAATGATTTGTGGAGTTCCTTCTGGTTTTCAACACATTCATATTTTACTGCATTTACAGAAAGCACTGGACTAGATCTGATTCAGCTGCATGGCACAAATGACTTGCTCCTGTTCATGTAACACTATTATTTCTGTTGTTCCAAAGTATTTTGGGTGCAGAAGCATACCTGTTTGCTTATATTTATTTTCTAAAAAGTTGTCATGAAGTTGCAATGAAGGCCCAGTCTGTTTCAGGCTAAACAAGATATACATATCTTCTGAAAAAAAATCTTGGCTTTCAGTTTGCAATCACGGTATTTGTGTACATGTGGGGTGATCGCTCCCTCCGTTGTCCGGTTTTCTCCTGCCAAGGGACCCTGCAAAGGGTTGAAAGTCACCCTGGAGGGGCGATGAGCACGAAGACGACCTCCGACTGATCGTGGAAGGGTGGGAGCCCTTCCGGAGCAGCTCTTCTAACTGATGGGGAAAAGATCGGCCATTTACATGGCCCATCACTTACGCCGTTTCCAGCCGAAGCCAAATTTACAACTAAGCACTTGAAAGCACCGCAGAGGACTGGGTGAGACCTTACCTTCTTTCTATCCCAAGTTTTTTTCCTGTAAAAAGCTTTTTGAAACTGCTTCCCCCTGTGAGGAGAGGGAAGGGAACGTTGTTGTTTTTTTTCCACCCTCTAAAATGGCGGCGTCTGATTACATAGGGAAAATAAAGCCCTGAAAATATAATTAAATCATTGGATCTGTATTTTTTTAATATTTGATGACCAAAAAGTTCCTATTTTTATGGGGGCTTGCTATCTCATCTACTTGGGGGAAAAAAAGAGACAAAAAAGAACTTAAATTGGAAAAAAAACTAGCCTTTTTGAAAAGGATTTTAAATGCTATCAGGGACATCTTGTGGTGAAACTTGGTACAGCAAGTGAATATCTTTGACAAAGAGACCTGTTTACAACCTTGGTATTTTTTAAAAATAAAAAGCTGAAACAGCTGGGAGGTGAAATTGGCTTTTAAGAACTGTGGAGCTGAATACTTATTGACTTTTGTTTAAAAAACTAGCCTCCTCTAAAGGACTATTTATAATTACCCCAGAAATGGAGGGGGACCAGCAACAAACCTCAATTGATTATAAACTTATACTTGAAAAAAATCTTGAAGCTACTGAGATAACTAAATCCAGACTGAAAGATGGAGGCACTAGCCTGAACCTACAAACTGAAACTCAAATTCCAACTAAAGAACTCACAACTCAGAAAACAACAGAAGCGGAAGAAATCAAACCAAGACAGAGGACTTTAAAGAATAACAACAATATATTGACAACTCTGATAACCAAATCCTGATTGCAATTAAAGAACCTATAATAAAAATAACAGAAGCGGAAGAAGCTAACACCCAAACAGACGATGCTAAAGATCAACAAGGACAGCATATTGAAAACCTAGATAACTAAACAATAACCATAAAACTGGACATGACCCTTTACTTAAAGCAGAAGAAATCTGAGGAAGAAGAAGACCAGACCGAATTGAAGATAAGGACACTAGAGCAAATATTGAGATTTGAACCACCAGGGCAGCAACTTAATGATTATAAATGGACCAGTTTTGTGGAAAATTGATGATCAGATGGTCTCTTTTGATTCAAGTAACATGTGCCAGAATGAAGGGAGATCCATCTGATAACCTAAAGGCATTGGTATGGAAACCTGGTTGGCACAAAAAGAAAGCCAGAGTTAGGTTTAAAAATAAGGCCTTTTGATTTACTAGAGTGATTCTAAGGTTTCAACTAATGGGCTATGAGAAATAAAAAATGTTTATGAAATAAAATAAGAATATATTCAAGTAAGTAATATATGTATTTTAGATATTATAGCCTTTGTGTAATGAAATAAAGGAAATTTGGGTTACCAGAAATTTAAATACTATGGATCTTAAAGGTTAAATTGGACTGCTGTAATTAAAAATTAAGAATTAGGTAAAACTTAGAAACAGGATATGGATATGTATAAGTAAAAAATGGATTGATAAATGCTTTAACTGAATTTGTTATGGTTAGAAATTTAGTATGATACACCAAATGTTAAGGGAGATAGAGAAGGAATTTTTGATAATGTAACCTGAGATATGTACAGAAAAAATTGTTATTGAACTATTGATTACCCAGTCACCACGTTGCTTTTTAAATACTTGGATGTTAAACTGGAAAACTAATAAAATTTGTTATAAAAAAAATCTTAATTTTTTAAACTTTACATGGCTGCTTGGGAATCTGATTCCTGGCATCTCTGCATGAGTGGGACTGTAGAACATTTGCTTTCTCTACAACTAGCAAAGAAATATCTTACCAGCTCTGGAATTCTCAAAAAGTTCTCCCCCGACTTGAAAATATTGAGATAGTGGACAGTTTAAATCATAATTTTCTTCTCTACATATTTTTTTTAAATAATTTGCCTGAAATGTATCAGAAACATAATTAATTAATTGGCTATAAAGAAGTAGAGACTGTTGTTCAGGCTACAGAAGAGTACTATATACTATGCAGACTTTATTATATAGTCACCGGAATATAAAAAAATGGATGCAATATTTTGTGTACTATTCAAATTGGTTTCTATATTTAATACAATTATTACTTTTCCTTACTTATATAATGGAGTGGCTACACTCATTAAGCTCTCTGGGAAATGTTAGTATTTAGAAGAGTTCTAAAAATTCAAAACATTTTGTTAATAGCACTCTGATTATCACTTCTGCTCCATTATAGAAGTGGGGAGAAATAACAATTGTATTAAATGTACATAAATAGGAGAGTAATATTTGCAATATACCATATTTTCCGGCGTATAAGACGATTTTCTAAACCATGAAAATCTTCTCAAAAGTTGGGGGTCATCTTATACGCCGGAAAATACGGGTACCAAAAGGAACAAAGAGGTTGGCCACAAATGGTTCAGTTATAAGAATTGGATTTGCAATCAAGAATTTTGCAAGTGGGGCCATTAGAGGAACAAGAACAGCCCCAGAAATTATTTCATTTTAAGCGCAACGGCCCTTCATGCTGCAGAGCGGCAGTTTTCACCAGAAACAGAGAAATGTTTCCCAGGGCGGAATGGGATGAGGTAATCCAGCTGCCTTTACGTGCCCTTACCGCGGCTCACCCCAGGCGGGTCTTCTAGCTCTGCCTCTTTCTCCCCGGCGTTTTCCAGGGCTATTTGGCTGCAGGGGACATTTAAACGAGCATCCAGCCTGCCAATTCGCACAGCAATGCATAGGTCACCTCGGACACAGGAAGGCGAGCCAGGAGGGAAAGGGAAGAGGAAGAGGAGGAAGGTGAGGTGCTGGCCAGCAAAAGTATGGGGAACAGAGAGCCTCACAGATGGAGCAAGCAAACTTACAAAAAGGGGAGCCCCCCCTCTCTCACACACACACATAAACACACATGCGTGTGTGCTTTCTCTCCCTTCTCTCTCTCTCTCTCTCCAAAGGCACCAGAGACGCCTGGCTGTCCCTGTCCTCCCTGCGGCAGGACAGGAACAGAAGTTGTGCAGTACCCACAACTTCTGGAGGCAAGTTTTTTCTTTAGCAATAGGCACTGCTGTGGTGGAACCATTAAATATAGTTCCAAGTCAGCATGCGGTTTTTTTCCCTGTCACTTTTAAGATTAAATGCAAATAAAAGGGGCAACACAAGATGATATTAAAAAACTATATAAAGCCTGTGTCAAAGAGTCACCCATTTTTGGAAAATATTACTTTTTTTAACTGGGATTTTGTGGTTACCTTGTTTCCTTTTTCCTAAAAAGCATTAATTGCATTAGAAATTGAAACTATGGTGAAAAAGTATATTTCAAAATTCCTAAAAGATAATAGCTATAATACAATTGCATGGCTGGTGGTCAGTATATACCTTTCAAATTACTATATTTTCAGGCGTATAAGACAACTTTCTAAACCATGAAAATCTTCTCAAAAGTTGGGGGTCGTCTTATACGCTCAGTCGTCTTATACGCCGGAAAATACGGTATATAAAATGGGCCTATACTACTCAACAACCACAATGAAAAATAACAAGCTATGAAATCAAAATTCCAGAAAATTGTTTTATAGATAATATAATAGCCACAGTTAAGAAGTATTGTATGATATATAAACAAAATATGTAATATGAATGGAATAAACTCAGAAGAAATTGGTGTACATTTCAAGTATCCTACATAATTTTTCAATTTGTTGAAGAATGTACCTCACTTCTTTATATGAAATTTTATAAACATACACATATACTGCATCTGAAGGTTGAATCATGGCAACTGGACCAAACTTTATTAATCTGAAATGTTTCATTGCTCATCCCAGCAACTTCATCAGTCAGAGCAAAATTAGTTAGGCAGAGAGTCAGAGAGTTGCTGGAATGTGTCAACTATTTTTGCACCAACTTCAGGAGTTTCTCCTGAAAACTAATTTTGCTCTGATTGATGAAGTTGCTGGGATGAGCAATGAAACATCTCAGTTTAACAAGTTTGATCCAGTTCCCATGATTCAGCCTTTAGACACCATTTGCCTGGATGATTGAGTCTTTACTGACATACACACCATGTGTGAGAGAGATTTCTTATTTGATGCAAATCTTCTCCGCAAGATCAATAAGGTCTTTAACTTTGGATCAAAGCACAGGATATGAATTGCTTTTAGTTTTAGCATTTGCCAGTTCAGTCATTTCTGAAGTTTTGAACCATTTATTACTGAGATTTGCATCAAATCAGAAATCCCTTTCTAGGACTCAGGTGTTTTTCCCCCCTTTGCATCTAATTCAAGGCTATTGGCCCATGTGTATATCATCTCTTACAGCTTGAACTTTGTAGAATTTCCCTCAATGCCACAAGTTAAGAGGTAGATCCTTCCATAGAGGTCTGTGTCAAGGAATCTTACAATTTGGTGATTCATCTTAATATGGCCATTTGTCCAGTCAGAAGATTGGCCATTTCCACATCTAAGTTTCCAATTAGTTCTCATCACATTCCCCTTGTTGGGTCCAGGATAACTTAGTGCAGCCAGCTCGACCCAGCCAGCTCGGTATGACCATTTCACCACTGCCAAGTCACCTCTGCCAACTCACCACCTCCAAGTTGTTGCAGGACAACTCAACATGGCCAATTCACCCCAGAGATAACTTGCCATGGGCAGCTGGAGGGAAACCTGGGTGAGTGAGCAGGGAGCGAATGAGCGAGCGAGGTGGGTAGATTGCAGAGCAGCAGCAGCAGCTTCTGGGAGCTTCCCATTTTCATACCCTTCCACTACCACTGTTATCATCACTGACCTGCACTGACCCTCAGGCTGTTTAGTGGTGGCAGTAGTGTTTGGGCCATTCGGCAGTGGTAGCAGTGGGCAGGGTGAATGGTGGGGAGGCAGTGGAGTCTGGGTGCATCTGTCCTGGATCGAGCAAAGGCTTGCTGGGTATTACTTGATACAGGCAGAATTAACTCCATGGAAGGGATTCATGCAAATTACTTTATTATCAGGCATCCTCAAGACATTAACTCACAGTTACTGTAGAGGTTCTTCTGGAATATAGATTGTAATCTGGACCCATCACATAGGTAAAAGGAAAACAGTTTCTTCCATACTAATGGAGTTACCAGTCCTCATGGCTGGAATTCATAGAAAACTCGTTGACTGGCATGTAACTAGGATATCCTGTAATAAAACAGAAGACCCTCTCAGTGGCCAATCCTAACACAGATATGACCAGGTAACATAAGCTACATTACCCAGAAGGCTATCCCTTAAGAGAACAGTTCTTAATTCCTAAGCTAGCTATATACTCTGACCAGTACATTCCCTGCCTGGAATTATACAATTTCCACTATTAACTAACTATTAACTAACCTAAGCAAAGGCATAGCATCAAAACAATGCAATTATGAGATAGACACAAAAGATGCATATCTCGTGGTTCAATCTTCAAGTTTGGTCTTCCTCATCAGCAGTACCAGGTCAGTGATGGGTCTGATGTAAAGCCTTTTAACAAGAGTCTTTGAGTCACGATATGACTCATGTGGCTTCACAGTCTGGACTTCAACTTGGTGAAATAGTTCATCAGAACTTGGTAGAACTTGGTGCACAAGTCCTATGTTCCAATATGCATCCTTGTCTCTCAACCCAAGGTCTCCTTCTTCTAGGTTAGGCTCTTTGGTCTTCCATCTGCGACAATCCTGTAGGGTAGACAAGTATTCTTGCTTCCAGCACTTCCAAAAGGTGTTGGTGAGCAGTTGAACTTGTCTCCATTGCTGTTTATACATGTCTTTGGGAACAAAGTTTCCCAATGATGCTGGCCAGTCGCCTGTCTTCTGGATTAGCAAGGTGGTCGGGGTGAGAATAGTTGGATTTTCAGGATCCGAGGAAACTGGAACCAAAGGTCGAGCGTTGATGATGGCTGACACTTCTGCCATGAGAGTGGTGAGGATCTCATGCATCAGCATGGGTGTCTTTGTCAACATGGAATTCAGGATTTTGCAGGCTATGCCAATCATGTGTTCCCACGCTCCTCCCATGTGGGATGCATGGGAAGGCTTGAATGTCCATACACAGTTTTGGGTGTTTAGGTATTTGTCAATTGCTGAATCGAGGCGAATGCCTTCGTCAATCTGTAATTCCTTGCAGGCTCTTAAAGGTTAGTCCTACAGTCAGATCTAAATGCTTTAACTGGGCCTCTATAGGCTTGGAGCCTTCCTAGAGCGTTGATGAAGCAGGAAGTGTCCATGGATTCAATGACTTCAATGTGAATGGCTCGAATGCTAAGACATGTGAATAGGATGATCACTGCTATGCCCAATATGAAGGGTCCCCATCTGGAGAATCGAATGCTAAGACATGTGAATAGGACAAACACTGCTACGCCCAATATGAAGGGTC